TTGTGCTGCGGGATGCTCAGCTCTGCCTGTTTCTCCTGCAGCATCTTGTTCGGTGGAAGTAGCCCGCCACCTTCCTGCATTTTAAAATCAGCTGGCTTGTAGCAGTACTGATCGCGGTGCCATCACCAGCAGCTCTGTCCCCTTCCAAGGCATCCCTCACTATTAGGTGCAGCCTGTGCGCCACACAGCGGATGCCAACGAAGTTGGCATCACAGACAGTCTTCACCATATTGGCCCCCTTGTTGGTGACCATGAACCCTCAGCCTGCCTAATGAGCCACCCCTGCACCATGTGGTTAATGGCCCCCATGATCTCCCTTGCTGTGTGGGACTCACCCAGCACCTTGGCTTGCAGTAGAGCCCACCGACAGCCTGACTGAGCACACCAGTGCCCTGTGAGGGAGAGGTAGGCATGAGCGTTACCCCAGCTGCTCCAGATGTCAGAGGTGAAGTGCAAGGATACCTGCGGCCCTGCCTTGCGTAGCTCCTCCCTCAAGTACTCCCTGCATGCCTCATGCAGGGAGGGCACCACCATTTTGCTAAAGGTGGTGCGTGCAGGCACTTTGTAAAACGGGGTTGGAAGTGCTATGAACTGCCTGAACCCTGGCCGCTCAACTAGGGAGAAGGGCTGGCTATCCAGGGCAAGCATCTCCCCAATGCTCTGGGTGATCTCGCTCGCCTTGGGAACACGTCCCCCTTTCTGTCCTCCTTTCCCCCACTGGTCCAGGGTGGCCTGCCTCTGCTTTGCAGCTAAGGGGGCTTTGGAGTGAGTGGGGGACTTCCCTTTGGGCACGCTCACACTGGTGTCAGACTAAGCAGGAAGAAGGACAAGGGGGTCAGATGCAGCAGCATGGCCCTGGTGAAATTTCTCACGTCCTTGCCACAGCTCATGTGCCTTCAGCAGTGCTGGCAGATGGCAAACCTGGGATCATCTGCCACCTCAAAATGATGCCACACTACAGTACTCCCCTGCTTCTGGGTTGAAGGCAAGGATCCTGCCTTTTCCCCCTTCTCAGCAGGCTGAGGCTGAACAGCAGGAGGAGCTGCCTCAGCTGAACCACTTGCCTCCACAACCTCAGCCTCCTCCAAGGTGCTGCTTTCCGGAGGAGACCTCAGTCTAGGGGAAACTTGTGGAGCACAAACTCCAATTCCCCCCGTCCCCAGAATTGCTTGAACCATCGTGCTCAGCAACCCTGGTTCCAGCTCCGGTTCCTCCTCTGGCAGTGGGAGGCTCATGCTGAGAGCTGAAATTGGGGTGGAAGAGACAGCGATTCCACAGCTGGCGCCCACTTCTTGACTAAGAGGAGGTGGTGCAGGCATAGGGACGTCAGGGGCAGACACTGCTCCCACCGCCTGGCTTCCACTGGCAGCACTGATGTCATGGCTGCTTGGGAATAGAATGCATCTGTGTTTGGGATGGGGAGGGCTTCCAGCTCTAGCTCTCCCCCTACCTCCTTTCCCTCCCCTGCCAGAAGACCTAGCACCTGCCTTTCCAGCACGCTTCATATTGATCTTTCCTGTGCTGCAAAAGGTCTGTGTGTGTGACTCCTTTTGTATATATGTCTGTCTTGCTCTCCTGTGAATATCTGAGTCTTGTTCTGCTGTGAATAATATTATGTGTGTCTTCATGTCTCAATATTTTATTTGTGTCTTGGTCTTCTGTAAATATCTGTCTTCTTGTGCTATCAATATATTATCTGTGTGTCTTGTTCTGTCTGTCTTCTTCCAATGTTTTTTTTCTATATTGTGTGTGCGCGCGTGCACGTGTGCATGCAAGCAATCTGTCCCTCCCTGTACAGTGATAGGTAACACTGGCTGGGAAAACATAACTTTCTTTTTGCAAAGTTTCCAAAAAAAGAGCAAATATAAATTCAAAGAAATAAATTGAACTGTAATACTAATAATAATTTAATAGAATAGCTAAGCTAAACTAAAGTAAGCTAAGCGAAGCTAAATCCTAGCCACTCCTTCCTAACAAGAAAAAGGAGCAGGCAGGTCTCAGTCTCAGCATTCCTCTCTCTCTCAGTTGCTGACAGGAAACGAGCTGCAAAAGGCAAGAAGGGCTGGAAACAGAGGCTTTTATGCTTTTTTTAGTCCCCCCTCAGACGCTGCCATTGGAAAGGTAGCCAAAGAGAAGTCCTTCTCACTGGCTGCCTACAGAGCCGAAGCGGGTCCGAATTGCTTCAGATGCCCCCAACCTGCTCCAGATACCATTGCTGGGACCCCGCCTCGATCCAGAAGTGCCGCTTCAGATTCCGAAGCGGGATCCGAAGACTCACACAGCCCTAATGCTCAGTGCCCAGCCTAGAACAGGGAAGAAGTCTCCCAGAGCCGCGGCTGGGGAGAAGGTGGAGGTAGAAGCAGCAGGCACAAGCAGGGGTTAAGCTGTTTGACCTCCTCACACCACCTGCCCCCACTGCCTGCCCTCCTGCAGCAGTGAGAGGGATAAATTCAAGATGACCCTGATGTAATCTTTTTATGTAATCTTTTTTATGGTATATCTAGCTTTTGCAAACTATATCTAACTGAATACTTAAGGCAACTTGCAGATGCTGGGAGGGGTGTGGTATGCGTGTGTTAAGAGATGCTTGCAGAGAACAGCGTCTGGGATGCAGAGGATTCCTGGAATGTCTCCCTAACACCAGCAAGATAATGTCTCCCTGACACCTGTAAGTTAGCAAGAAGTTCAGAAAAAGGTCTCATTATAATGCTAAAAATCACACCCCTGAGCAGGGCAAAAGTATGTTAATGAAACATATATGTATGTAAATGAAATACATGGCTAAAACATAGGTATAGAGACATGCTCAGTA